GTTTACTAAAACATCTGTGCCTCTAAAGTTTAAATTTAAACTGACCACTTCCACAGCCGTATCAGAATCCATCATTTTGCTGAACGATTTTTATCCTCATTCAAACAAAATGTCAAAAAGAAAAAGGTTAAGTTACCGGCTGACAATACTAGTTGAATATACCAACAGAATATTCAGCTGAAGGGTGAAGAGTTCAGTCATTTGATCTAAACTTGTGACGTCACATAGTAGTTTAAATGACTGACTATTCTCGCAAAAACGTAATATTCACTCATACTACACATACTACAACATACGACTTCACTCGCGAAAAAAAGCCTAACGTTTTAGCTTTATTTTAATTGATTTGGGTTTTCTAACATTCAATCGTCATTTACTCGAAAACTTTCCTATATAAGATGATAACATATTAATACTATCGGATTGACAATGAAACAATCTTTCAGAATCAAAAAAAATTACATATTTAAAAAAATTTCGATGACGTCATTACTCGAAAACAAATGACGGTTGAAAATCGCCTTTTATGCTAAAATATGTATTTTTTAAATTAAAATCGACCTGTTCGAGGATTTTTCCCAAAAAAAAATTGTTTCGTTTTTACTGAATTTATTCCATACTTTATGCGCGTACTGTATTACTGTACTATGTAAGAACAAATATTACGTTTTAATGCATCATTTGTATGTCCAGAGAAAAAGAAATACGCGCGGTTATGTAGACGGAATGAAACGGTCATACAAAAACGACGACAAACTCGAAACAAAACACCGCTTTTCACTAATCATTACTATCCTAAAACCCTATCGATTGGAGTCAAGAAGATATTCTTTCACACCAACATTCTGAACTGACGTAACTGGAAACAACTACTCTACTGACGAGAAATTTGTCCTAACAGCATCTTTGATAAAACCAACACGTAAATCTAGGGCACGATAGGTAGTCTTAACTATTTCTGCATTTTTACATTTTCAAGAGACTGGACGGAACTAATAAATATTAATAGAAAGAAATTGTAAAATAATTTTTTCTGGAGGTACTTAGAAAACTGTTTGGATACAATAGTACACATCACTAAGATTAAACAAAATGTTACAGGGTTTCCTTACTTCGTTGAAGATATATTTGTAGTAAGCGACGACATCCTTGTTTCTCAAAATCGCCGATTTTCTTATGATCCTCGCAGTTTTCTTGTCACAGGTTACAATATGTTCCGTACTCTGCATCTTGAACTACACAATGTGTTACATACAACTACTCGCAGGGAACTGAACCATTTTTTGTAGCGCTTTGTTTCAATTGTTAAGCTGGTAATAAACTGATAAACGCAGATGGCGTGGTCCCTTGATGCCTTGACCACTATTAGACATTGGCTTCTTCGCAAAGTGGGAATTTTAACATCATATAATCATTATTTATATCGCGTTGATTCTTATAAAATCCCATTCAACTGATTAAAAAAAAATTGACGAAGTTTGTATTTTTAGTGAGTATTCTTCAGGACTTAAGAAATGCATTGTAAATATAAAATCACTATAGTTTCTGACAAAAAATGAGAAACCTGACTACTGGCAAAAACTGAACATATTCAAAATATGCATTTTCCTTTAATACGTGAGATGGCTTGCTGATTTATTTATTAAAATAATTTGTACAAGTTATTTTGATTAACCAAATTCCGAAAAAAATCAATATCTGTTATAACGAGCGTTCAAATAAAAACATGGTCAAGTTGGTTCTGAAAATTTGGACGTAGGGCGTAGCGTATAGCAAATGAACTTAAACGTCATCTGTCAAAGCGCTATATCGCCGCTATCAATTTGAATATTTTCGTTTTAAAAAGCGTTTAAAATGGTGTTTTCTCAAAAACAAAAAGTGTTTATCATAGAGTCCTACTTTAGAAATGGACGCAAGATTGATGGAATATGGAAGTATTCTATTGAGGAATGTTTCATAGAATTTCAAAATCAATTTCCCGGCGTTGTTGAGTACAAAATTTTTCAAAGTGCAGTTCAGCGTTGTGTTAATGTTTTTCGTGAAACGGGCAGTGTAACAAGAAAAGAAGGAAGCGGCCGACCTAAAAAGCGGACTGAAGAATTAAAAGAAAATGTCCAACAAATAATGGAAAATGCGCCAAGAACTTCTGTACGTGTTTTATCACAAATGGTGGGAGTATCAGTCGGTACCTGCCACACAGTGTTAAAAAAAGATTTGCGTTTGTTCTCCTATCGTTTAACTTGTCAGCAAGAACTTCATGAAGTTGATTTTCCGCGACGGGCTGTATTTTGTGAATGGTTTTTAAACAACTACGGTGAACTTCATAATAT